TGGTGGTTGATGGGTTGAATGCCCCCCCTCACCTGATCTATATGCTGGTGGTTGATGGGTTGAATGCCCCCCCTCACCCGATCTATATGCTGGTGGTTGATGGGTTGAATACCCCCCTCACCTGATCTATATGCTGGTGGTTGATGGGTTGAATACCCCCTCACCTGATCTATATGCTGGTGGTTGATGGGATGAATGAAGCCTCTTCCCACAATCTAAAAAATAAAATATTTAAAAAGACTATCATCGTAATTTTAAGTGACTCTCTTTCCAAAGAAAAATTTGGAGTGTTCGATTCAAAAAGATACCATTGGAAGCTTTGTAAAAACAAGAATGAATTAAATATCCATGTTTATTGTTTGTTTGTTTTCATTTAAAGTGACCTTCTTTTTAGTGAGGGACATGCCTCACGGTCACATGAAACTACCTGCAATTGCTGAATCATCCTGACTAGATATTGGACTAGAATCTATAAAAAATATAAAATTATAAATAGTTTTTCATTTTTTAACAATCTTAAGTGAAACCTAGGACACACCAAGGTTGTGATTTAAAGCGCAATCTTTAGTTTAAATTCATTAGTCTCGAATCCAGTTTTCAAAGCTAATCTAAGTCGTTTAAAAGTGCTTTACTGGTCTTCGGATTAAACTCTAAGAAAAGTAAAATTACCAAAATACCGAAATGCTTAAGTCTCAATGTCGGCTTAGTCTTGAGATTTATGTAAGAATTTAATTGTTCAGGAACCCCAACTCTTTGATTACAAAAAGAATGTAGACCGCCAAGTTATCTTGCAAATATCATGTTTTTTTCAGATGTGTATTACTTTTTTTTGTAAAAGGATGTTATACCTGTAACTCGTATATCAGGGTTGAGAAGAAGTAAGGTAGAGCTTGTTCCTACAGCCGAATCCCGACCCTAAACAAAACAATTCAGCTGAATCCTGACCCTAAAAAAAACAATTCAGCTGAATCCCGATCCTAAACAAAACAATTAAGTTTAATCCCGACCCTAAACAAAACAATTCAGCTGAATCCCGACCCTGAACAAAACAATTCAGCCGAATCTCGATCCTAAACAAAACAATTCAGCTGAATCCCGACCCTAAACTAAAGAATTCAGCTGAATCCCGACCCTAAACAAAACAATTTAGCTGAATCTGGATCCTAAACAAAACAATTCACCTAATCCCGACCCTAAACAAAACAATTCAACTGAATCCCGATTCAAAAAGAAACAATTTAGCTGAATCCCGACCCTAAACAAAAAAAATAAGCTGAATCCCGACCCTTAAAAAAAAATTTAATTAAAAACAATATATCTTGGCATTAAAAACTCCCTCTTTTTCTCACAAATGTAATAAATCACGCCATATTTAATTATTGTTTTTTAGAATTCCACGATTAAAAAAAACAAAAAAACAAGGTTTTTATTCAAAAGTAATACAAAGTTATTGCGTCTTATTTATGTAAACAAAATGTAATTGTTCTGTACTATTTGTTCCTTTTTTTGATAAAATGTCGAATAAAATTTTCTGGCGCCTGAAAGTCCCTGGATAATCGACAGGCAAAGATACAATTCAATAAAATCAGAAATCGTTTACATCATCATTTAAAGGGTAAACATGGGCTCCAAAATTAAGGCTTTACTGACTTCATGACATGAACTAAATTACCGTGAACTTGTCTTTAAAGTTGTTGTACATTTTTGGTAGCTGTCTGGATTTCTGTGCTATTTAGGATACATGTTTAAAGTGTAGGTGTGTGTTTAGACTAGGTTTAAAGTTGTTGTACATTTTTGGTAGCTGTCTGGATTTCTGTGCTATTTAGGATACATGTTTAAAGTGTAGGCGTGTGTTTAGACTAGGTTTAAAGGGTTAGGTCTCTGGATTGATGAATGATATAATTGATTGCTTGAAAATGAACAGATGATATGGATCGATGCATCAGGAGTGCAAAATATCCATTGAGAGGTTAACATATAGATAAAGCAACAAAATTCACAGAGAAGTTAACATGTAGATAAAGCAATAAAATTCACAGAGAAGTTAACATAGAGCTAAAGCAAGTTCACAAAGAAGTTAACATAGAGCTAAAGCAAATTCACAGAAAAGTTAACATAGAGCTAAAGCTTCACATGCTTCACATTTTTTTATTATATCATTGCAACTTGAAGATGTTATCCACTTATCCTGAGATATTTCAAACTTAAAAAATGTTAATTTCTTTCATATTTTTTCTTAACCTCATATCTATAAAAATTAAAAGCCAAATATAAATTGATGAATTTCAGAGCTACATCAGTAAAAAGCTAAAATTATTACTAAGAAATGAGACTGTATCTCCCTAAATCTTAGTAAATAAAAAATGTATAAATTTAGAAAAATTTAAATACCTCCACTATAGGACTGAGACAAGGTCTTGGGGCATTAATTTCTCCAGCCAGTTGTTTTCTAAATATATAATATTATTATATTATAGTAAATATATTATAGAAAATATATTATTATATTACAGTAAATATAATATAGAAAACTAGAAAAAAAAATTTAAGATGGAAAAAAGAAACTATATATGACATTACTTTAAAAATAATTTAAAGTTTTGATAAAAAAAGATTTTGACTTTATAAGAAAAAGTAGGTACAAGACAAAAAATGATAATTTCAGAAGTAATTCATACTAAGTTAAATTGTAGAAGTGACATGATAGATTTTTTTTATTTTAATCATGCTTTGTCTTTATCTCAAAGGTTTTCTACTCTTAAGGTTTTATATAACAGTATAATTAGCTGCAGATTGATTTGTTTGAAATTAAATTGATCTTTTAACGGTCTAAATTATCAAACATTATATTTTCAATTGGCTCATAATAAAATTTCTTTTGTGTTTTATTTTAAGCTAAACTATCATACATTATTATTTTGTATTTTGTGTTTGAAAATAAATACAATATACTATATATATAAGTCGTATGTTGCAATTTTCTCAATTTGTATGGGCGCTACGTTGTTTGGTATGAGACGTCTTTAACAATTTTCTCCTTATAGACGCAATAGATAAAAGTAAGATTAGTAGAGATCAAAAGCGCTTTTTTTTTCGCATTAAGCCCATACCCCCTTTAATTTTTCGCGAACACTCCCTTTAAGAGAATTTTAGCAAAATAAATTCTACGCCTTGATTCTAAACCTAAACCCCCTTGAGTAAAACTATGTGAGAATTATGAGATAAAATTTCAAGTCAAGGCGTTGGTTGCATTTAATTTGAGTTTACATACTTACAGCCTATGTAGAGAGTGCACTGTGCACAGGACATAGTGAACTGTACATCAATGAATACTAAGATTGTACAAAAGATATTTTGTTCAGTTATTCAATATTATAATTTTACATAATTATACTTTACACTTATTAGAAGATGTTTCTATTTTGTACAATATAATATTATGATTTTACATAATTATACATTAAACTCACTAGAAGATGTTTCTATTTTGTACAGTACAATATTATAATTTTACATAATTATACATTGAACTCAATAGAAGATGTTTCTATTTTGTACAGTACAATTTTATAATTTTACATAATTATACATTAAACTCATTAGAAGATGTTTCTATTTTGTACAGTACAATTTTATAATTTTATATAATTATACATTAAACTCATTAGAAGATGTTTCTATTTTGTACAGTACAACTTTATAATTTTACACAATTATACATTAAACTTATTAAAAGGAGTTTTTCGTCTTCGTATTCAACATGCTCTGGCTGCATTAAATTTTGTCTTAGTTCTCTATAGTTATAATTAGTTAAAAAACTTGTGCATTATTCTAACGAACAGATTTAAAAAGTGCACGGAGCTGTTGTGCCAATTTCTGGCGAAGTTTTGATGAACAAAGATACCGACTACAACTCCTGTCCTATCTGTGTAGTTTTTGGTGTATAAATCCTGACAATAGAGAAAGATATGAGAAATCTATAGAAGTTACAAAACCTAACATGGAAATGTCAGGGACCAATATAAAACTAAATTGGGAGGGGGGGGGAAGGGGGGGGAAGGGAGGGGGTATCCCCCCCCCGCCACTGCACTTTACCTGAGCCGTTTAGCAATTTCCAATTGAGCTTCCCGTTCACTTTCTACCTCTCTCCACACCGACAGAACTTCATGTCGATCCAGTCTAAATTATTGTTTAAATTCAACTTTCAAAAAATTTCCAAAAATTTTAATTTTTTATAAAAAATCTGAAAAAAATCTGAACTTAAATTTGAATTTTCTTTTAATTCTACTTTAAACATCTGCTAAAAATTATCAATTTCATGAAAATGGAATTTCAACTTTTAATGGAAAAGTTTTAAGGTGGAGTTGGGAGGATTGTCGGATGAGGGTAGTGTTATCTTACTGTGCGTATGTATATACAAAATGCGTATCTATTTCTGATTTGTGTGTATCAGATATGTAACTTTTACGATCCTTTACCCCCTCTTTTTAGCTCTTTTCTTCATCCCTCCTTCTGTAAGTAAATATATCCCTTCCTACCACAGCCCCATTAGGATGACAAGTTATTACTATCACGGTATCTGTGCTGTACTTAACTTTTTTTTGCAAAACATTGCAAATAAAATATTTGCATAATGTTCTTAAGTTTTTATCTTATCCTCGCTTAAGTCGACATATTTATAACAGTTTGCAACAATGTTTTATGTGTACTTGCAAGGGAAAAGGGGTTGTTCATGAATATAAACTAGACATCTAGGAACTACACTAGACAGGCCCCCAACTAAAAGTATGTACTCTCTGGAAGTTATTAAGTTAATATGTTTACCTTGAAAAGGTTGTTTCATATTCTTGCAATGAAACGGGAAGTAACTCAACCGGCTACAAAAAAATTAAAAATAACAATAGTACAATCACAATAATAATAATAATAATAATGATAATAATAATAATAATAATAATAATAATAATGATGATGATGATAATACTAATTATAATAATGACAAAGATAATATATATATATATATATATATATATACATATATTTATACATATACGGCAGTGGAAACTAAGAAGATATTGATAATAAATAATAATGAATAGGAGAAAGATTTCAACTACATGGAACAAACCCATTCTAGTTTTCTCTGGCATGCAATAGAACTGGTTGAACTGGTGGTACATAGTTCAATTACTTATTTTTTTATTTATTAACTCTAGTTTCAGGCCTTGCTCTCCTTAAAACTTTTTAGAATGGAACTTTAAAGTACTATTTCGCAAGATATTGTTGTATTTTTGCAGCTAGATGGTCAGGTTTTAATTTATAGTGAGGCCATGTTAGGCTCGTCAAAGTTCCATTTCCAAATTGAAATGATTTAACACACAGAAACTTACATCACTAACTTAAATAAATAAATCATTAAGTAAAAAACAAAAATTGAAAAGTTGCAAGTATTTAATGAACCATTGATTTAACAGTTTTAAAAGTTTTAACATGCCCAGCCTTTATAGCGAAATGTAGGTGAATGGGCATTGTGAAACAAATCTACAGATTTGATTAGTTCAGAATCCTACGCAACCATTTAACTCCATCTAGCTACCGCATATATTTAGGAAATAACCATTTCTTTATCTCTAAATTGATCAAGGCCTCAGTTTAAGTATATTTAAACAGTTACACAGAAATGATTCCTTCTTTCATTGGTTGGAAATCATTCCAATTTGATTTAAAAAATGAATCGTCAAAAAATAGATCTCTAGGGGTTATTGAAATAAACACCTAGATGGATGTTAGTTACTCTATAGTGGTTAATTATCATCTGACAACATTTTTCGAGTTTATATATAAAAATTTAAGATGGAAAAAAGAAACTATATATG